ATTTTAGCTACTAGAACAATCCCTTGTGTCCCATAGTCAGACAGGTGTAATTTATACCAGTCCCCAACTAGCCCCAGAGTGAAAGAACCACAAATAAATACTACCCCCTTACACCCACACATATTTTTGATAATGCACTTGCTGGAGTTTAGCCAGACCAGAAAATATGGCACTAGATCTTCAAAGAAGACAATCTATTTAGTGCTATGCGCAGATTCTGCGAGCCAGCCCTTGAGTTAGAACAAATAAAATAGTTGATAAAAGACCCTGAAATACTAATCCTGAATTGCCCTTCTAGATTCCGTGCTCCTCTGTTACCTGACAGGGATTCAGTTCTGTCTCACAGGATGACAGTCATTCCTACTGGGAGATACTTGTATTCAGTATCAGTTTGAGAACGTTCTTTTCTCTCAGAATGGACTATCTCTTTCTTTGAGCTCTACTTTTAAATTGTTCATGTTCCTTTGAAATGCACTAACTAGGAATCTTTTCTATTTTCTAGAAAAGCCCATCTTTTCTCAAACTTCTTTCTAAGCTTTAGGATATCTGTAGATGCTTCCAACCCTCAGTACTCCTGCATTGGGTGGAGAGTATTGCATACTGGGTTTTCAACAGTTTTCCTTAAGTGTATTGGTCTTAGATTTATCTATGTGTCTGTTTCATACCACACTAGTTTTCTCAAAATTTTCCCGTATGTCCGTTGATTGTTCTAAAATCCAGGCAATGGGAAATTGATTATCTTGTCTCATAGGTGTCTTATCTGGTGACACTTGAGATAGAGAAAGACAGGTTGAACAAGATTTTTTCAGAGGAATTCCCATTTCATTACATCAGTGATTTCTAGGTGGGATGTTGCTCTTGCAATTTCAGGCATGCACAGAACATGAATCTTCCACCGTCAGCAAGACTATTTTATAAAATGTTAAAAATCATATGTGATATTCAGTGGTATCGGTGGATTAACTCCTTGAATGCCACTGACTTGTGCCTGACAAACCTAAGATGCAGGTTTTTAATGTCAGAAAGTGAGCTTTGGAGGCAAGTAGCACATCCTGTGGGCAATATTCATGGAGCCACACCTGGAATTTAGAGTTATCCTCTCCAAGTAAAAGCCACAGGAATGTGTGTGATGAAGAAAAAGGGAAGATGACACAGGCGTTGCAATGGGATGACATTGTACAAGTATGTCAGCACCAAGAGGAAGATTAGGGAAAGCGTGGGTCCATTACTGAACAAAGGAGGCAACCTAGTGAGAGATGTTGCAGAAAAGGCTGAAGTGCTCAATGCCTTTTTCACCTCAGCCTTCACAGGCAATGTCAGCTCCCAGATTACTGCACCTGACAGCACAGTTTGGGGAACAGGTGAGCAGCCAACAATGGCAAAAGAACAGGTTAGGGACTGTTTAGAAAAACTGGATGTGTACAGTCCATGGGGTGGACAGGATGCACCCAAGGGTGCTGAGGAAGTTGGCCAATGTGATTGCAGAGCTGCTGGCCATCATCTTGGAAAACTCATGGCAATCAGGAGAGGTCCTGGACAATTAGAAAACAACAAATATAGTGCTCATCTTTAAGAAAAGGAAGAATGATCCAGGAAACTACAGACCGGTCAGCCTTACCTCAGTCCCTGGAAAAATCATGAAACAGATCCTCAAGAAATCCATTTCTGAGCACTTGGAGGAGAAGAAGGTGATTCGGGACAGTCAGCATGGATTCATCAAGGGCAAGTCATGCCTGACCAACCTGATTGCTTTCTATGATGAAGTAACTGGCTTTGTGGATGTGGAGAGAGCAGTGGATATGATCTACCTTGGCTTTAGCAAGGTTTTTGATATGGTCTCCAACAACATTCTTGCAGACAAACTAAGGAAGTGTGGGTTGATTGAATGGACTGCAAGGTGGATAGAAAACTGACTGGTTTGTTGGTTCATTGGTGTCAGAGGGTACTAATCAATAGCTCAATGCCGTTTAGCAGTCAGTATCAAATGGAGTGCCCTGGGGTTCAGTCCTGGGTCTGGTTTTGTTCAATATGTTCATCAATGACCTAGAAGATGGGATAGAGTGCACCCTCAGCAAGTTTGTGGATGACACCAAGCTGGAGGGAGTAGTAGTTATTCTGGAGGGTAAGGCTAGGATTCAGAGAGACCTCGACAAATTGAAGGATTGAAACAAAACAAATCTTATGAGGTTCAATAAAGACAAGTGCAAAGTCCTACACATAGGACAGAACAATGCCATGAACCACTACAGGCTGGGGACTGAGTCACTAAGCAGCAGCTCTTCAGAAAAGGACCTGGGGGTTACAGTGGACAATAAGCCAACAGTGTGCCCTTGTTGCAAAGAAGGCTAATGGCATACTGGGCTGCATTAGTAGGAGCATTGCCAGCAGATAGAGGGAAGTGATTCCGCCCTTCTGTCTGGCACTGGTGAGGCCACATCCAGAGTACTGTGTTTAGCTTTGGGCCCCCCACTACAGAAAGCATATGGACAAATTGGACAGTCCAGAGCATCTAATAAATTAATGTGACATCCAAAGACTATGAGGAGGTTGTCAAAATGTACTGTATTCAACCTTCTACCAAAAATAAACAGCAGTAAAATCTTTAGGAACTAGAAAATTGTGAACTCAGAATGTTAAGTGTATAAAATTTCACGCAGAGTCTTTAACAACCTGATTCCAAGGTGCTAAATTAATGGGAGTTTTGTGGTTTCAGTTAACTCTTCTGCCTGGGAAAAAGGGCAGAAAAGACTTCTAGACTGTGGTTCTGGCTGTGGGACAACTGCTTGAGATTTGTCTAGAGGGGAGCTGACCAAACTTAGGTGCCTAAAATTAAGCATCTAAATCCATATTTAAATTAGTTTAATAAAAGTGGCCTAATTTTCAGACATGCTGAGCATCATTAGGTCTTGGTGCTGCAAGATCAAGCCCAGAAAATGATTTTTAAGTCCAATTTTATAGTGTATCCTAGAGAAATAAAAATGTTTTTGGTCATAATAAAATAGAAGGTTTCCCCATTTTCAGTTAATCTCCTACTGTACAGAAAATTCTGCCAACACGGTACTTATTCAACGTAGGAAAGAAATCCAACCCCCCAAACCAGGGCTGTCTTTGGAAGAAGAGGATATAAATATAGGTTAGTTGCCTGAAGGAACCCAGTTCAAAACTTAGCTTGGACCATTCTGTGCCATAGTTTAACAGTCTGTGAAATAGAAGGAATATTTCTATCTCAGAAATAATTATTGTGTGTAAGGCACTTTGAGACCCTCTGATGACTAGTGCACAAGTGCTGATGATTTAAGGCTTAGATCTCAGGTAAGCAATGTTAAGTATTAACATGTGTAATAACAACACATTGAAATGGAGGTGTTTTGGTAAATACTGAAGGCTAAGCACTTGTTCAAAAAGATTCAACAATTCATCAAGCCAGCTAATATACTCTGATAAAGGCTCTAATTCAAAGTGTTTAGGCACTGGCTAAGTGCGTTGCTGATTTGGGGACAAAGTTCAGAAGCTTTATATAACTGAATTGCCAGTTTCAGTAAATCCTAATTGAATTCTTTAGGTCTTACTGTGCCCTAGACTTAGAAATTCTTTGCTCTTCCTGGACACTAAGGCTAGGGACAGATTAAAAAAGCTGGAGCCTGAATTGATTCAGTCTTTGCAGGTTAGTCTAACCTGCCTAGATTGAACCAGTTTAGTTTGCAAGTGAATAGACATTCAGGAAATGCAGGCACATGCCTGCAGTGGTTCATGCCAGAAGCTGGGGGTCATTTGAGCACCCCCTTGGCTGCAGGGAAGCTGTGCTGGGGGGCAGGGTGTGGCCAGCACTGGCAGTAACCTCAAGTGAGTTCAGGGCAGGGGTTTAATTTTCCTCTCCCCGTCCCACCGGCAGGGACCTGAGCCAGGGTCTGCCTGGTGCTGTCCCCTCACTGCCACAGCAGCAGAGGTGTGGCCAGACGGCAGCCAGCATAGCCCCCTGAGTCAGAGGGGGCAGGAATGAAATTTATTCCCCACTCTGCCCCCTCTGCCCCCCGGAGACCACATCTGGGGTCTGCCCACCTCAACCACTGCCATCACTCACTCCCTGCGCAGGGCAAGCAGCGAAAGAAGCTCCTTTCTTGCCCCCTCCCCCAGACACCAGAGGGAGAGGGGAAATAAATCCCCTTCCTGCCCCGGTGCATAAGGGGGCTATGCTGGCTGGCCTCTGGCTGCAGCCCTGATCCTACCACTAGAGCAGCAAGGGGGCAGTGACCCTGACGGGGGCAGCAGCCACTCTCATGGTGTCCTGGGAGCTCAAGCCTCTTCCCAGTGGGGGGTCTGCACTGTGGGCAGGGGTGGGAGAGGAGGGGGGGCAGTTAGAGCTGCCTCAGACTATGTGGAGCACATGGCAAGGGCACTATGGGAGGGCTTAGGGGGGCTATGGCCACCCTCCAAGCCCTGGTGCCGCCACCCACCCTGTGCAGTCTGTGGCATCTTTGACCACCCCATTCCACTCTGCTCTGACACTGTGTTCAACCAGGTTCATCTCAAACCAGTTTCAGCCATTTTTAAACTGGTTTATGTGCACTGAACTTATGCTCTGTTACAGGTTGAGAACAGTTTCTGATCATTTAAACCGATTTGTGTATAATTTGTGTCCCTAGCCTAAAGGCCAATATTTGTTTGTTTGTTCCACTAGCAATGCTCCTAAGATTCATTGGATTCCAAAACCTTCCTGTAAGGTATCTGTACCCTTTAAAAAAAGGAAAAATCTTCCCTCCTCCCTGCAACATTTAAAGTTCAGAATGTGATCTTTTTAACAGCTCTTTTAAAAATAATCATAATCATCAGGCTGTTAATTTAAATCATGCTGCTGGATTGCCTGTATAGTCTCATTTTCTTTTATTTTTAATAAGTATATTAATTTTTTTCTTTAATAGTTTGTGGAGACTTTCTACTCTGTACAGTATTAGAAAAATCTGATGTTTAACTTTTGTTCCAAAACATTTAATTTCTTCTAGATATTGTGCAATGGACCAGGAACATGTGTTCCTGTCTGTATATCTGCCCTGCTTCTTTGGATACTGGGACTGAAGAAAGTCATCATTGTGTATGTGGAGAGCATCTGCCGAGTAGAAACCTTATCCCTGACTGGAAAGATTCTTTACTACTTTTCGGATTACTTCATTGTTCAGTGGCCTGCTCTGAAGGAAAAATATCCCAAATCTAAATATCTCGGTCGAATAGTATGACAACAAAAGACAAGCTTTATTTATAAGTAATTCATATTTCTGTAAGCAGATCTTCCTTAATATTTAAGGAAAGAAATGTGTTTTTAAATAAGGAATTTATTTTTAGAAACTCTTGATTTGATTTGAAATGTACTGGTTATTGCAAGCCAAGTGTACAATTAAGAAACTGAGCCAGTAATAGAAAGTGGACTGGAATAAAATAGTAAAAGAAATGCATACACTTATTTCTACATGCATATTTATTGTATTATATGAATTTATTCATCAGTTCCGTCTTACAGTTGTAAGGGAATAGTGTTGATTCTATTCAGTTTCCTGTGATATAAATAGAAATAACTCTCTGGGAATTTGTATTAATTCTAACATTCTATTTAAGGAAACCTTCTGTAATAGTCTAAATTGAAAGAAACACAGTCTTGTTCTGATACAACAGGCTTTATTTTCCTGTATGCAAGGAGTGAAGTCCCTAGTGAATCTTTGTAGCATAAAGGAAACGGTTATAGGAAGTTGGCTTCAGGACAGTTTGCACTCTACAGCCTTCCAAAACCCCAAAGCATTAAACTAGTATCATTTTTCCTTTTGGCTTGTCAAAAATGTTCCTGTAATTCAAAGAGCACCTTATAGGACCCCTTGTTTAATTGTTAAAGTAAATTAAAAAGTGACAAATGTCCTGATAAGGATGCAGCATGTATACATTCAAAAGATGCATATTTCAAAATGTCCTTAAAACTTCTTATTAGCACAGAGACCAAACTGTTGCTATCAGGCACTGAACTGTTTTGGCCTAATTTGCTGCCACATGCGTAAAGTTTAAAGTAAGCATTAGCATTACTGGTGCTAGCAAAAGCAGTGGCAAGAACAGGGAAGGCTTACTTGGTTGACGTACTTTAATTTTTTGAATATTTTATTTGGGGTTTGTTTTTTTTGTTTTGTTTTGTTTTTAAACAAAACTTTTCATTTCTATAGTACAGCATACATTTACTAATGAAGGAGAGCTCCCTTCATGGAAAATAACATATCAACACAATTAAAATGCATGTTCTTAAGTTTAAGATTTAAGTACCTGTAAGTCTACTTAAGTCCAAAAGTTCATCTGACAAAACGTAATCACATACATCGTTCCATGTGTAATGCAATGTAAACATATCTGTCATCTGTACCCACACACACAGAAAAACTCATAGAAAAGCATTTTATAGAATGCACAAGCTGATTAAGTACAAGCCAAGCAAAAGCTCATCATAAAACCACATGTGGATAAAGTTGTTTTCCCAGATCTGTTCTGCAGATCAAAAATTGCAGAGGTTATTCTGGTAAGAAATAGTTGCAAATAAGGGTCTGAGGAAACAGTACATGCATCCAAATAAGCGTGCACATTCAGGGGCCCACGTTTCCCTCAGGACATATAACAGCAGCACATATTTGTGCCACTGCTTTTTGTCCCAGGGCATGGTCCTGCACACGCACTCTGGCATGCAGCAAATTGACCCGAGTGAGGTAGGGGAGGCTGGAACTGTTGTCCAAATGGCTAGTTTCGTGCCCCTGGAGGCTAGACCAATTTTACCTCAAGGAGAGAGTCACACACAGGGTGGGTCCGTCATGAGTTTATTGATTGCACAAGCAGTGTCGACAGAGGAGCTGATGCTCAAAGCTGTGTCGACCCCGAGTTTTTCTTGGGGTTACACTTTTATAGCTTACATAAACAAAGGGTTACAGCGTGTCATACAACTATTGGCAGTACCACAATTTCCTTGTTGTTATGTCTTATCTTATGGGCTAGGCTTAGTTTGCTATTGGTTAGTATCTCCTGTCAAGTTTAGTGCATGCGTATTTCAAAAGCAGAACTGCGGCAAAAAGTTCTGTCGCATGCGCAGAGGAAAAGGGGAACTGCGGCAAAGTTAATGTCTTTTAGTAACCTTATACCTTAGTGTAACTTCAGGGCATTAGGCAAGTATGGTTATAAAATGCAGAGCAAGCAAGAAGGAAAAAGAAACCCACAACTCAGTCGTTAGGCCTCGTGCTTCTTACACAAGGGATCATGAGGGATTCATACAGTTATTACTCAAGTGAGGCCCAGGTCATAATGTATTTTTACCACAGAACCAATACCTGTGCTTGGCCCCAACAGCCTTACCTGGGGTCCTGGGGGCCTCCTGGGGAAGCAGCGACACCAATACAGCCACTTGGAGCCTGGCCAGCAGCCAGAGCATAGCTCTGGGGAGCCAGGCTTCATTTCTGGTTTTGCATGCTGCTGCTGCATGCACCACACAGCTTTAACACCAGTATGGATCTCCTGGTGTCAAAAACAACAGCCCCACTACAAATTAGCAGCACGGCGCATGGATGCACATGCGCCACACGTGGCTTGCAGCACCTCAAACAGCTTTGAGGCACTGCAAACTGTACATGTGTGCTCGTCAGGATGCACCCAGTGTGTTCTTCAGTAATAGGGTTCGTATGTTGGAACGAAGTGTTGCAACTTATCTGACCAGTTTAATAATCCTTACATGAGGGAAGGGCACAACTGGAAAGTATCTATTAATTTTGATTGCAAATGTATCTAGGAATAGATCTAACAGTTGGGACAACAGCTAGCACTAAAGGGATCCTAGTGCATTAGAGGTTTGTGGGATTTTGTAGTGCCTGTATAGACTGGCACATAGGTCCTTGAAAATGACCTGATGCAAGTTATGTCAATGTGTTTAGGGTTTTTCCCCCCTAAACTAGCTGGAATGAAGACCATCTTATCAGGACTTTCTGCACAGCAGCCGACTGTTTGGTAAGTAAGGGAGACACTGTGCTTTATTATGGCTAAAGCAACTTTGACTTTAGATAAGTGTTACCTAATGTATTATTTGCACTAGATCCTGCCCTCTGCTGCCCTAGACTAAAAGGGAAAGCACAAGGGAAGATCACCCCCTCCACTACTCCCTGTGCAAGAAATGGTTCAGGATCTCTACTTAGAGCTTAATACAGTGCAAGAGAAAGAGTCTATGAATATTCCCACTCATGAACCCCATCCTCATGACCCAGGATCCTGGTTTTCTCTGTTTAAAAATCAGAAATTCTGATTAAAACCCCCCAAATCCAAGTTTTTCCAGAATTAAAATGAAACGCCACTAATATATGTGTGTGCACACGTGTATACCAATTGAACACCTATATACATACATACATACAGAGAGAGAGAGAGATCAGTTGAACACAATATTTTATTGATATATTTACAATTTTAAAGCAATTTGGAAGCCCACCAGTGCCTCAACCACTCCCATATAATAAAATCAATTCTAAATACCTTTACATTTTGCTGTTTCATTTTGGCTTTTTTATCATGGAAAAATCAGACTTCTCCCTGCAGCTGTGGCTCTTGTCCCCCCACCCCCACCTCACTCCTTTGTGGCACTGAGCAGCTGTGATATGCCTGTGCCCTGCCCATGCCATTGCCCCTTACTCCCAACTGGACAGGGCCCCAGCTGCCAGGACTACAGGGCCAGGGACTGGGTCCGCAGCCCCCTTCCCCCTGCAGCAGCGCCCAAGTCCCAGCTCCACACGTGGGAGACGGCAGCTGCTGCAGTGGAGTAGAATGCAGATCCCAGCTCCCCCTCCCCCATGGGTGGCATGGCTGGAGCGGAGCCCATCTGGAGACAGATGCAGGCTGAAGACTGCGGGCTCAGAGCTCCCTGCCCTGCTGCCCTCTCCCCCGGGCCTCCATGGCCCAACGGATGTAACCCAGCAGAGCGAGGCCGGGCAGGGAAGTTTGGTGCTGTCGCCGCTGGGAGCCCTGCGCTTCCATAGCAAAGCACCCCCTGCCTACCTGACAACACCCCCACAGGACCCTGGCAGCAGCGAGGGGCACAACTCTGCACCACCACCCCCACTGCTACTGGGCAGGCAGGGGGCACCTTGCCATGTCAGCATAGGGGTCACGGCAATGCCACTGAGCTTCCCTGTTTCACTCTGCCCTGATGCATTGGGTCCTGCCCACTGGGCCACAGAGGCCCCAGGGGGCAGGTTGCCTGCATCCACCCCAGGCACAAATCTGGAGGGCGCGTGCCCCCCATGTCCCCAAAGGAATGCATGCAGTGTCAGGGAACTGCCCCACCCCACCCTGCCTTGGAAGGAGCCACCTGCAGTCCTGTCCCGCTCCCTGCCCGGGCCCTGCAGCCACACTTCCAGACTGGGCCCCAAGCCCCACTCGCTACCAGCAGCCCCAGCTCTAGCCCTAGTCCTAGCCCTACCCAACTCCCTCTCTCCCTCAATATGGTGGCTTTAATTGTCCCCCTCCCCCCAAGACTTATCTGCAGGCAGCTGCTCTGCTTCCTGGTGGCCATACACATGTGTACATGCGCACATGTACATGGCACACCTGCCTGACTACACTTCTCCCACTCTCCCCAGCCCCTTGCAGACTGGAACTCTGCCAGCCTGCAAGGGGAAACCCAGTGTTTCCCATGTTTTTTCTCCTTTAATGGAAAAAAGAAATCCAGATTTTTCTCCTTAAAATTAAAAAAATGTGGGTTTTACCGTGTTTTACCTTGGGAAATGGAAAACCCTGATTTCTGCTTATGACAGACCAGTGTGATGTGTCCTACTCCCAGGCTGACAAGTACATACACATATTTCTCTCTTCCTATTTAGAGCTGAAGTGAATTGTATCCCACCATGTATCTTGCTTCACCTCATGTCATCATGTTCTTCCTGTAAAATTTCTGGATTGGTGGGTTTATTACCAGCAGTATTGCCCAGGGCAGAATTTTGCTTTGCATAGGTGTTTTCAAGCTATGTATGGATAAACTGGGTGAGCCTGTAGAGTTTCAAACAGAGGTGTTCCATCTGTACTCTGCCTGGGAATTCTTGATCTTAAAGAAAATCATTAACATATTTGGACTTGTAAAGACCCTTTTAAATGCTCTAGAATATAGCAGTTTAACTCATAGAAAGCTTCTCATGAAAAATGAACTACTTCAGTCCTTCAGAGAAATATTCAGTTCTGCAGCTGATTGAGATGATTCCTCCTTTGCAATTCAACTACTCGGCCTTCAAAAAAGCTAAAGGTATGTCTGCACAGCAAAAAAATACCCATGTTCTTATTTCAGTTTGGGTAACCTGAGCTAAGTAACCCTGATCAAAATAGCAGTAAAGACAAGGTAACTGGTTGCACCTAGTTTAGCAGCTTGGGTACGTAGGGATGCCAAGGATTGAACTCACTTAAA